CAGGTCTCACATCTCTCACGGTGGAGCGAAAGCATAAAATGAGGAGTGACGACAGCAGATCGAGAGAGAAACAGGCCTGATTTTATGTTGTGTTTTGTTTCTGTTGTGTGTAACATTACAGCAGGCGTCAATGAGGGGCTGCTGGCTTCTTTCGTTTTGTATTTGTTAATTTTACTATTAAAATGTTAAAATATTCGCCGGTTCCCGCCTCCTTCCCAAAACAGCAAACCCTGTTAATGTTACATTGGCAAACTCATTAGTGAATTACTCCTCGTTTGTATTTATTTGGTGAATTACTGCATAATACCTGCATTGTTCAGTCAGGCGAAACTAGGATGGTTCGCAAACGTCGATGTGCTCGTCTGATTGAGAGATTTCGTTCAGGAGAAATTGCCATCCTTGAAATTCTCTGCAGCAGACGGACTCTATCTGTGTCTACATCGGATTCGAGCAGCAGAATTTCAAAATCCTCTTTTTCCATATCATGTTTAGTTTCTTCCATCATTATCATACTTCCTATCTCCACAGTGCTTGTTAGCTTAGCTTCCAAACAAGATGGCAGATATTGATTCAGTATCTGCAAGTGAAGTCCCACCCACTGATCTGTAATAGGCCTGTAAGGTGAGTGGGGTCCACACCCTTGAATAATAATGAGCTAATGTTTGTAGTCTCGACACTTTTTAATGAAATGTGATTTCCTGCTTATTATGACGCAAAATTACGATTTTTACGTCATAATAAGCAAGTAAAACACTTAAATCCTTATTCCTCCCATCTCAGGGGAAAATAACGGAATAAACCATGACCATTCAAAAAAAATGACTGGGTTTCTAAAGATTCAAAGCTGAAGTGTCCCTTTAAGACATGCTTTTTGGGGCATTAAAGGGTTAGTTCACCCAAAAATGAAAATTAAGTCATTAATTACTCACCCCCATGCTGTACCAACCCCGTAAGACCTTCGTTCGTCTTCGGAACACAAATGAAGATATTTTTGATTAAATTTGAGAGCTGTATAACTACCACATTGGCTCCTAAAGGACTGCCTCTTGACGGCCCAGAAAGTCAATGAAGAAAATGTTTAAATATCCCAAGTGACTACCGTGGCTCAACTATATGATTATCAAGCGACGCGAATACTTTTTGTGCGAAAAAACAAACAAAAATAACGAGTTTATTCGACTATTTCTTTTCTTCCTTGTAGGCCAGAACGAAACTTCCTTAGATTTCCACGACGCATGCGCGAGAATTGCGATCTGAAGTAGTGTAAGCTGGTGTGAGCAGATCGCAAATCTCGCGCACGAACGAAGGTCTTACGGGGTTGGTACAGCATGGGGGTGAGTAATTAATGACTTAATTTTCATTTTTGGGTGAACTAACCCTTTAAATAATGGCACATATACAGTAAATTGATAAGCGCAAACCTTATTAAATCATCTTGCATGATTAATTTAAATACTCTCCCATAAACTTTGCACCTGAAAGGGAATTTTCTACAAATGCATATCCAATAAGGGCAGCTACAAAATTAACCCTGTCCACGTCTTTTCAACACTTTTTTTTTTCACTGTGTGTCATTAGTAAATTCTGACAGTATTTGTTTTACGGCAAAAGAGAGTTTGCACTGGCACAATATTTTAGTTAATATGGCACTGAGTGTAGTAAGTAATAGTAATGGAAACACCACTAATGTGATCAGTTTTGTCCAGTCTTTAGAGTTTCCTTCTGTTTCACATCTCTGTAAAATTATATCTAGATGCATTTTTATATATCCTATCTATGGAAGATTTCTAGTCTGTTCAAAAGATAAAATAAGTTGGTTTATTTTTAGCTTTACTGTGCAGCCAAATAGGCTACTAAGTTCTTTTCACTGCAGTAGATGAATCACAAAAACAGCCGCCTTAAAGAGAGGACAGATGTTGTTACAAATATGGATCTTATTACTTAATAAATAGTGTACTGGGATCAATATAGTAATGCAGTGGTGCATTGTTGCTTCCACATCTTAATTGCTACATCATTAAGTATACATCACCCTCTTCCCAGACTGAGAATGCAACAGAGCTTTACATTCTAATAAAACAAAAGAGAGATGCTTAGTGAGTATTAATTATTTAACATCTTTTATACGTCTTTAAGAATAACTCTAGAGAATCTCTTTAAAAGGGTCAGACCGGCTCTGTTCTGTATCTTGGATTTATAATTTTTTTATTATTATTAAAACAGTACGTTTTGACACAGTACATTGTCTCCTGCACAAAGTCTACTAGTATTGCTGCTTTGCAGTTTATCCAGAATACGGTGTCTTTCCTTTTCAAAAAGCTTAAAATACTGTTTACGAAGGCAACTCACAAGGTTTTGGAACAGAGTATGGGACAACGCTTCCAGATTTATTTCAATGACATGATATTATGGGCTGTCCTTGTGCCCAAATGGATGCTATTTATGGATGAGGCAGCTAAGAGAGCTGTGTGTAAGGGTATATCAAATCCCCCGGTGTTCTGCTTTGAAATACTGTGAAGGTTGAAGACAGACGTTAAGAAGCAAGGCTGCAGAGTTTCACTCTTGCAGTTTTTGTCAAAGACTTAGATAAGTTGCTCTTCGTCATACTGCAGTCACAGCACTCCTTCTTTTATTGCCGTGTATTGCTGCTTCCTGCATCATATGCGGTTTTCTGTCAATATTCATAAAGCCATCATGTCATGCACGTGCTCTGCAGAATAATCCTGTCTAAACCTGCCCCTGCAGACCAACAGGTTCACCCTGAAACAGATCAGACAATCCATTACTGAGGATCGTGATTGGCTGAGAGAGGTTTGGATTGAACCCTCTTAACCTGGTCTTCTGCAGATGGATGTCACTCTGGGAGAGCTCAGACTGTTGGTTTATAGATGGCAGTGATAAAATTCATGAAATAATATTGTAGACTACAAATCACAGTGCTGGTCAAACTGTTCACAAAGCCCTAGCAACAACTCAACATCTTAACAGCCACATTGTAATGCCCTAGAAACCACTTGGAATGCATCCTAGCATTGTGGCTGTGAGTTTTTCCAAGGGCAAAACCACTCACATTTTCTTCAGAAACTCAAAAAACTCTGTTGGCTGTTTAAAGGATGCATTTTTTGTGTGTTTACTTGTATAAATATTAAATACTATTTTTGTTTTCATATTCTAGTAATCAGATGCAGGAGGTTGAGGTGACTGTAGGAGGGTGAAAATCCTGGAAAAGATTCACTAGCAAACGTGTGCTACTTTAATGTTTTCGAAGGAGCATCTTCAGTTACCACAGGGCAAATATGGGCGTAACCTATAACGCCTACTCTATCGTACTTAATATCCAAATTTACAAGGCGTCTAAATTATTAACATGATCAAAAGTTTGCTGAAAAGTCTGTTGTACACAATCTTCTGTCATCTCACTGCTAGCCAACACATATGATGAAGGATACGCTGTCGTTTTCAAAACCATTAGTATAAAACAAAACGTGCAGGAGATCGCTAAAGTATCAAAGAATAAACGCAAACCCCACAATGTATCAATAGTTTTCATTACCCTTCAAATTGCACAAATCGAAAAACTCCTATATATCGCAAAACAGGCCCACATGAGGTGGTTTTTCAGGCAGTTTGAAAAAGCAATGTTTTGCAAAACTGCAATGGAAACAGTTTTTGCGCATTTACATGTCATCTGATGTAGATGGTTCGGTATGTTTGGACAGAAGACGAGACAAGTATACCCGCTCACAAGTATCTTTTCTTGCCATTACTGCTTGGATAACGCGCCTACTGTATTTGCCATGATTTTTTTTTTAATTTTCAGTCACATAACATCGGTTAATGGAAAGGTTAACATCATCGCTTTTTTATTGACATTTAGAAAATATCTCAAAGGTTTTGCGCAAATCTGTAATGGAAACGCGGCTAATGACAACCAACAAACAACTGAAATCTCAGGGCTATAAATACATGGGACAAACTAAGGAAACCAAACTAGACACGGGTAAAATGAATATGTGTAGGAAGGAGGAGTCAAGTGGAAGGCTGAGGTGTAGCCGGAGGCCCGGAAGTCCATGTCAGAACCAGGGTTGATGATGAACCAAGGTGGATCTGGAGGTACTAGGGAGCTCGAGGGATGACGGACCACGGTGGGGCCGAGGGAACTCAGAGCTCTGCACCAAATTGTATATTTTGCTCAGATTTGATTTTTTTTTCTTAAAAAAAGGTTTAAAAAATATTAAATAAAAAAAAAAAACATGTTGATTTGCTTGCTCTCTTTGCCATTTCTGTTTGATTACAGTGTTAAGTAAAATTTCAAGGACAGAAAGTGTCTGTGTTGACATCCTATAACATGGATCAATGGTTCAGAACACAGTTGCCAATTTAAATGGATTTTAGCGAAGGCTCTGAAAGCCATATGTGTTCAAATACCACAAGTCATGTGTAATATGTGGTTGTGATATCTGAGCTTGAGTATTTACAAGCCATTTTATTTCCATATGTGAAGTCAATTGCAAATATTAACTTAATGAAGAAAATAATGAAGGGGAGGATTTTTTTTTTCAGTAGGAATTGATTGGGAAAATCCTAAATAATTACCTTTAAAGGAGAACTCCGAACAATGAACCTTTGGTCTAATAAAACATCGGTACATAGTCAACCGTTCTCTGAGATTTGTTTTCATGATAATCGAATGTAAAGAGTTTTATCTCTAAAAACTGTTTAGCGTATAATGCTAGTAATGGGGGCATTCACTAAGTAACAAGAAATCGCTAGTTTATACCACTAACAAGGCTCAAAATAGCCCCACACTAACGCTGTAACATAATGAGGCTCCATACATGCAAAACGAAGCATTGAGAACTTTGTAAGTGTACAGACCGTTTAAGATACTTTATGAAGAAAGTTCACTTCGCGTATACAGACAGGAGCCATCTTAAAAAATAGAGTACATACAGAGTACATAATCCACACTGACTTTCACCCTGCTTTCTCTGTTCCAGCGGTGATGTCGCGCACCTACGAGGCTCCAGGTGAAATGGGGAAGGCTGTGATTATTCCCAAAGATGAGCAGGACAGAATGAAAGATCTCTTTAAGATTAATCAGTTCAACCTGATGGCCAGTGACATGATCACGCTCAACAGGAGTCTGCCAGATGTTCGGCTAGACGGGTGAGCACGTGTGTGTTTGTACAGACAAATCATGATCACATTAATGACTCTAATCACAGGATCCAATATGCTGCCAAAATTCCAAAAAACACAAATCAGTTGTCCTTTGTGTTTTATGAAGAATACAATGACAAGAAACTCAAACAAAAATAGACTTTTTATGTTTCTTTTTTAATGATATAAACAGCAATAATTTGTCATTTCTATAGTGAAAAATACAGACATTTATTAGTACATTAGTACATTTATTAGATGAATGGCATGTGTGCTTACCTTGAAATTCATGGTTACATTTGCCATCAGCCCTGCTAGCCTGTTTGAGTTTGACAATTCAAGTTTTACATGAGAGTCCCTGTCTTCATGGAAACAAATTAGCCTCAAGGACTTTCCACAATGAAACAGTTTCAGTATAAAAATACTATTTTTATGTGATTTTTCCTCATGAACCACTTATCAAAATGTTATAATACAAGGCCCCAGGTATTAAGTCATTTTGAACTAAATCTGGCCATAGCAAGGTTTGTTAGAAGTTTGCTTCGGTGGTTCCAAACATCTGACCAGTGCATACTTTCTAAAAAATCTTTGCGCTGGCTGTCAAACACCTTCAATATTCTATTGGTCCATGATGATTACATAATAGGTTGGTGTGCTCTGGATGCAAGAGGGTATTTGTCATCGCAGTGGTAAAAATGTTGTGGTTTTGTACACATGCATTCTAAATCTAGCAATTTTTCTGGGAGAATAGGGTAAGATTATGAATTGATTAGATTTGTTCGTGTTTGTTAGTTGAGCTGATATATTGTACGCAAATATCAACCAAAAATGCACAAGCCCAATTAGATGACAAAATAAAACATAACATGGAAGTTTGGATTTTTTTAAGGTCAATACATATGTTTAATATGTACTGAAAACATCTGTCCATCTATTTTGGAAATTTAAAATGAAATGATTTAAGTTAAAATGTTTTAAAGATCCATTTTGTCATGCACTCTAAAAAATGCTGGGTTGTTTTAACCCAATTTTAGGTCAAATATGGACAAACTCAAACACTGAGGTAAAAATGTAATTTAAAAATGTAACCCAATGGCTGGGTTTGTCCATATTTTACCCAAAATTGGGTTAAAACTACCCAGCATTTTTTAGAGTGTGAGATATTTTTTTATTAACGTTCAACAAGAATAGGTGGTAAGGATTAAAACATAGTTTAGTTACTGTTTATTATTATTATCATTATTTAAAATTGTTAAAGCTCCATATTATTGTACAGTAGTTTCCTGAAGCATTTAACTGTCACTACATTCCCTTAAGATTGTAAAATGAAGCATTGAAGTCAAACAAATGTGAACAAAAATGCCATATCTTTGGTAAACTGCAGAGCAAATGCTGCTTCCAAGAGAATCATACATCAGCAAATGCAGGGAGGGGTGACATCCTTCAGTATGCTGAACAGTGGCATAACTCAAATGCACCAGATGAATGTGGCATGTTTTGCTCTAACAGCTCTCTGGGATTTCATTATGTAACTCGAATGGCTCTTTGGATTCTGTAAACAAAGACCTTTTTCATTGCACTGAGAAAGAAAGAGGGAGGAGAACAACTGGATTTTTTACACTTCCTAAAGAAAATTTCAGTGGTGCTTCCTTTATGTTTGCTAAGGTGTTATTTGGAGTGGTTTTAAGATGTGTTGCTTGGCTATTAAACATCATTGTTATGTGATTGCTTACCAGCCCAAGTTAATAGAGCCTACCTCCAAGTCTAGAAATTCTGGTCTCAAAAGATATATTGCTCTGGTCTCTCCTTAAATTTAAGTCTGTGGAATAATTTTGCTATTTTATCATCTACCAGGTGAAAATTGTTGAAAATGTCAGATCACTTACAAAACTAATAGCCAACAAGCTGCTTGATTTGAGGAATCATTTATGCCAATACCACATTGTGGAACGAGTTACATGCTTAAGTTTAATAATTTGTGGTTATGGGTTTGTTTAAATCACATCTATGAGCAATAGAAATAGTGAGGGTGGCCACTGGCCATAGCAAGCACTATTCATGAATACTTTAGAAAAACATGTAAGAAAACCTTGGGATGAAATTAAATCAATTTGTCTCCTAGAGCAACAACATTGGTATAATATTGCAGTGAAAAAACTCAGCAGCTCTATTGTTTGTGCAATTCACTCACTGCATACAGCAGAAATCTCCTGTGGGTCACTGTGGTATTCATAGATAGATGCTGCACGCCATCATCTGTAATCTGTCTCCAGTTTGTACCCTTTTGCCCCCATCCTGTCTGTGCACACAAAGAGAATCAGAAACCCTTCCCTAGCTACTCATCCATCTCTTTTCATTTACTCTCATATTCTTTCTTTTTTTTTAGCTCACTCCATCTCCAATGCAGTTTCATGCTTTATTCAGGATCTCTTGGTGATGCTAGCCACTAGCTATCTAGGTGATGTAGCCACTAGCTAATGTGGCTATATTAGGACAGCAGCTGAATACATTTGTTAGTTGTATACAGTCAATACTCGTGCATAATACACTTGACAGTCCTTTTTATTCACTTTATGGAACAGAAAGACCAGATTATGTTACTGAAGTGATTTAGGCTTTTACTGTGGGAACCATTTCATGCTATTTTTATATAATTAGGGTACGCAGAGGGTCATTATCTTGCTTGATAGATAATTAGATGCCATTACCATGTTTCTTGCAAAAAGCATCTTTTTTCATTGAGAGCCGTTTAATAGTCATCTATCTAATTAAAATTTGCAAGTAACATATTTCTCAGTCTGCTGAAGAGGATTTTTTTTGTATGAAATCAATGTTCACTATCATTGTCAGAGATCAACAATGATTTAATGTTGTATTAATGCAACCTGGGACAAATATGTCTTGGAAGTGTAAGACTGGAAAACTGGATCTCAGTTTTGGTCTCACCAGTGCCCTCTGAAGACAAATGACATTGCTTGCAAAATTCACATTTGACACCCTACCCCCTCCCTCTGAACTACATCTTTCTCTCTCCCTCTCTCTCAGTCAGTCAATGACACTGAGAACTCACACAAGAATCTGGTTTTAATGTGAATGTGATAATCATTAAGGAGTGTTTGATATCATTTAGAAAGTCTCAGGGTAACTGGTAATATGTCTCATTCCCAAAGAAATAAAACAAAAGGTAATAAGGTTTTAAGAATATAGAAATATCTTGAACACAGAAGGTGTGTCTTTTAGTTAACACCTTCTGCCTTGTTGTCTGACTGCAAATTACAACCAAGCAAATGGTCTGCCCCCAATAAACATGGTTGGGGGATTCAGTAACTTTCCATTGTAACCTGGTGATTTACATATCAGGTGAGGTCTGATTATAAAGGGAGATGTAACTAGAGTTCGGGGCTGCCTTTTTGTATTCAGATCAGTCCATGATGTTGTGTCTTCAAGGCTCAGCTCATGTAGCCTAATATGTTGGGTAAAGCTCTTTGTTCTAGAAACATTGATGGTTTGCATTCATTATCTTGTGGAACTGTAATAATACATTTACCTCACATAATAAATTGTTATATTTGGCTATTCTAACAGACTTAAAAGGAATAGTCAAGCATTAACATATTAAATGATGCATAGATATCATTGATAAACCCTTTTCATTTTATGGAGTCAGATGAAACGAGTTAATAAGATTTAATGTATTGCAAAGTATTAAATTTAAAAATGTATTTAATTAAACATCACTTTGCCATGGGAAAGACGGAACATGCTTGAAACATTCACCACGAATCGAATTCCGCCATTGGGTCGATTTCGTGCCGGATTTTATAAAAGCTAAGCACAAAATGCTACAATGATTCACAATATACTCTATTACCATAACAAAGTTTTAAATTTTTATTGCAATTTTAACCTTATGGTCTTTTCCTTTCACCACATAACTATTTAGTAACACACAAGATATCCCATATATACTAAATAGCAAATCTCATCTGCTTGTTTATATTGTTACAAAATGTAAACTATATTTGTGCCCGCCCTTATGTTTACCTGCATACATTCAGTACACAGTAGAAAGCAATATATACTAAATAGCATCTTGGCTGCTTGTTTGTTTGTATCGCCACAAAATGTATTCTATATTTTATTACCCAGCTCTAATATGCTAAATGCAAGGAATAAAGATCTTTACATTTCATCAACATTAACATCATAATTGTCTTTTAAACTGCTTTGAGACAATATGTATTGTGAAAGGTCAAATAAATCTGACTTACTTGACTCTGTCTAAACATTTTTCTGTTCTTGTCTGTTCCTCAGCTGTAAGACGAAGACATTCCCCGATGAGCTTCCAAACACCAGCATTGTGATCGTGTTTCATAATGAGGCATGGAGTACACTCCTAAGAACCGTACACAGCGCCATAAACCGCTCGCCCAGACACCTGCTGCTTGAGATACTACTGGTGGATGATGCCAGCGAGAGAGGTCCTAATCACATCACTAAATTTACTGATTTTATTAATTATGCTTCCATGTTGAGTTGTTCACATGGTATCACTCTAGCAGTCAGTGGCAGAATAACTTAGTGTAATTCTAAAACCCGGAATCCAGAAAAGTTGGGACATTTAGTAAAATGTAATAAGTTCAAGAATCTAATTTGTTAATTTTTTAACCTTTATTTAACTGACAAATGTACAAAGAAAAAAAATATCCAATGTTTTCTCTCACTAACTTAAAGGGTTAGTTCACCCAAAAATGAAAATTAAGTCATTAATTACTCACCCCCATGCTGTTCCAACCCCGTAAGACCTTCATTCATCTTCGGAACACAAATAAAGATATTTTTTATTTAATCTGAGAGCTGGATCACTCCTCCATAGACTGCCTAAGGGACTGGCTCTTGACGGCCCATAAAGTCATTAAAGAAAAGCTTTAAATATTCCATGTGCCTACAGCGGCTCAATTATAAGTTTATCAAGCGACGAGACTACTTTTTGTGCGAAAAAAACATAAATAACGACTTTATTCCACTATTCCATTACTTCCTTATGGGCGCATGCGCGAGAACTGAGACGAGGATGTTCTCATTCGTCTACTTCTTGTTACCGGCTGCTCACCGCTTAGGAGTTTTACCGCCACCTACCGTATAAGATGATGTGCTGATATAGCTGGAAGCGCAAAACTTTCTGTTTACAAGCAGAGGAAGATGCGCGCTGTACATACGCTTTTCAATTAGCGTATTTTCCGCACTATAAGGTGCACTTAAAAGCCTTTAATCTTCTCAAAAAACGACAGTGTTCCTTATAATCCGGAGCGCCTTATATATGGATCATCATTTTATACGGTAGGGGGCGGTAAAACTCCTAAGCTGTGAGCAGCCGGTAACAAGAAGTAGACGAATGAGAACGTCCTCGTCTCAGTTCTCGCTCATGCGCCCATAAGGAAGTAATGGAATAGTGGAATAAAGTCGTTATTTATGTTTTTTTCGCACAAAAAGTAGTCTCGTCGCTTGATAAACTTATAATTGAGCCGCTGTAGGCACATGGAATATTTAAACCTTTTCTTTAATGACTTTATGGGCCGTCAAGAGCCAGTCCCTAGGCATTCTATGGAGGAGTGATCCAGCTCTCAGATTCAATCAAAAATATCTTTATTTGTGTTCCGAAGATGAACGAAGGTCTTACGGGGTTGGAACAGCATGTAATTACTAATTACTTAATTTTCATTTTTGGGTGAACTAACCCTTTAAGTGTATTCTGTAAAATAAACCAATTTAGATTTGTATGGCCACAACACACTCCAAGTTGGGGCAGAGGCAAAATAAAAGTGTAAAAAGACTATAGATATCTAAGCAGGGGCGAAAATTTCATCAAAATGTTAAACATAACAATTCACCTTTGGCTAAGCCCCGCTCCCCTTAGTTACTGTTTCTACATCCGTCAAACTTCGTCTGCGCACTGCATGGCTTATGTTTTGGGAAGGGAAAAAACAGACACCCCCCTCCAACCTCTCTGGGAAACACGTATCTGTGTTACAAATGCCCGAGGCACAACCTTTAACCATAATTTGGATAAAACTACGACGGTAATAGCCTGCCGAGACCAAAAATATGAGACGCCTGTGTTGAAAGTCAATGAAACGCTGTGGAAAAGTGTCCGACCTCTGTGGGGGCTCGTTCTTGGCTGCGCTGTGATTGGTGAATCTACATTCTAGGGCGTGGCTTAGCCAAAGATGAATTCTCAAGAGCAAATTTTGAAGGGGACACCAATAATACAGGCAAAAAACAAAACAAAAAAATACAGAGGAAAGCCTTACTACTATTATTAGTGTAGCATGGAGACCATTTCATTATACTTCTTAAAATTTCTTTCTGGTTTAAACCAGCAGTGAATCTGTTTACATACTCTCCTCACGCAGCGAGCGACTCATTTCATTTCATTCATTGACTCACTATTTAACTATATTAAATGATATAAACCGACTAAATCACAGTGAAAGCGTTAAAATCTAAATTCACGGCGCACCCGGACTAGTCTAATCTACAAGACTAACGTTACATCACGTAGTAGTGTATGTGTACACTCTGTGTGTTTGTGTGTGGGGATATACTGTATTAAACAAGCTAGGTAAACTCATAGACTATTATAAACAAGGAAGGGTAACGTTATAATCGCTAACATAGCAGACTGCATCAGTGGCAAAAGTACATTGGTTACACAATCATATATTTGTTTTTTGACATGATTTATTATAATGACTCAGCATAATCTATATTAAAGAGAAAATAATCACTTCATCCGATGTTTAAAGTGAATAAAATAACATTGAATAAAGGGGGTCGCACGGAGGAGAAGCGCAGCGCCGTGCCGCGTCACGTCTAGGACAACTCCAGGTATCGCACACCGGACGCGCACTTTCTCATCAGTGTATGGCCAGCAATATTGTAATGTTTAATGACATGAAATGAAAATAATGTCTGTTCTATGTTATTATTGTACTGTACAATTAAATACAATCGTTGCTGAGTCTGCCGTCTGAAAACTTTACCCCAGAGCATCCGTTAACTGAATGAATTAAGAATCTCACCTGAAAAATCCAATAACATCAGCAATTATCATTCAAGCAGCTGATTTCTGTAAATGAATGCAAAACTAAATGTATATTGCAGCATAGGGCGAAGTCAGGATCCATCAGCACCGATTTGAGACAAAAATAATTTAAATTGTATATAAAACTATGTAAATGGCGCTCTGTGGCGCAGCAGGGTTTTGAACACGGTCCTGAGCCGTCGCTGGGCGCCGCGGACAGTCACCGAATGGCGCCGCCGGTGTGTGTACACTCATAGAGAATAATGTGTTCGAATTTTAAAGACGTGGTGCTGCGCGACGCGACGCTGCGCTTTTCGTCCGGTGCCACAACTACTCAAAAACTACGTTCTTCTCTCCCGCCACCGGAATGTGTGTATCTGAGGTAAAAGGGGCAGAGGCAGTGAACAAACGCACTGTGAGGCAAGGGAGGGGGGTCTCAAAATGTTTAGAACGCTTTTTTTGTTATTGCCCCGTTTGCATTTTTTTAAATTTTATTTCTTAATTATTTTAAGAATATCATTACATTATTTACAATACACATATTTTAATGTTTTTTTTGGGGGGGGGACAACCCTCAGATAGGAGTCGTCCTGAATCCCCCGTTCCCCCCGCGTTTTCCGCCTATGTATCTAAGTTAAACTGTTGAAACAGTCCACAATGGGGAATTGGTAATAGGTGAGCGTATCGTGTTTAGGTATAAAAGGAGCATCCACCAAAGGCCGGTCTTTGCAAGCAAGTCATGGCTTTGTGCCAAATTTCATGAGAGAATTGTCAAACAATTCACCAATCACATTTCTCTATGCAAGATTGCAAAGACTTTATGTTTTTCACCTACTACCATATATAATGTTGTGAAAAGATTCAGGGAATCCAAAGAAATCTCAGTCCGTGTAGGCAGGGCAAGGGCAGGAGACCTCTGTTGAACGTTTGTGACCTTTGACCCCTCTTACAGCATTGAATGAGAAACCATCATGCTACCCTGTTAAATACAGCCACATGTGCTAGGAGTACTTTGGAAAACTGTTATTACTTAACACAGTCTGCAACTGCATCAAGAAATCCAACTTGAATCTATGTTACACAAGGACAAAGCTATACATCTGTTCAATGCAGCATTTTATGTACCCCAGCTCCTCTCAGATTATCAAAAATCACAGTGGAAATATGTTCTGTGAGTCCATGTTTCAGCTTGTTTCGGGGAAAAAAACTGCTTTTGAGTTTTCAGTCCCAAAGACAAAAAGGACCATCCAGACTTTCATCAGTGAAAGGTACAAAGCAAACTTCTGTGGTATGGGGGTGCATCAGTGCAAACGGCATGAGTGTAAAGGCACCACTGGCGTGGATGCATATATTAAGTTTGTACAGAGACATATAGAGCCATCAAGATGATATCTTTCCTGGGCAGCAAGACAATGCCAGGCCTCATTCATCATGTGCTACAACAGAGTGGTTTTGAAGACACTCTACACCATAGCGTGGATGTGCTTGACTGCCTGCCTTGAGTCCAGATCTGATTCTTCTTAAAACTTGCACATTCATGAAAAAAAAAAAAAAAATTCCCCCATGGACTGCAGCTATCTTGTATCAGGTGATATTGGAAAAAAATTTTACTTGCAAAACTTAACAGTAAGCATCCTTAATTCCCAAACATTTAAAAAGTGTAATTAAAAGGAAAGGTGATGTAACACATGACTCTGTCCCAACTTTTTTGGAGTGCGTTGCTGCCATAAAAATCTAAATTGTTTTTTTAAGTTGGTTGATGAAAACTTTTAGTCAGTTAAATAAAGATTAAAGATAATTAACAAATCACAGATTCTTGAATGTCCCAACTTTTCTGGATTTGCGGTTGTACTTTCTATACAGTCCATTAAGTTCATAAATGTCATTCAGCTTCTTATATACCTCATTAACATTAAACATTAAGATGTGTTGTCCACCATAAATCATCTATGTAGATCACATCATCTTTTTTTTTCTTCTTCCAGATTTTCTAAAGAAGAAATTGGAGGACTATGTTGCAACTCTGGAGGTTCCAGTCCGGATTTTGAGGATGGAACAACGATCCGGTTTGATTCGAGCGCGGCTGAGGGGTGCAGCTGCCACGCGAGGTCAGGTCATCACATTTCTTGATGCCCACTGTGAGTGCACTATAGGCTGGCTAGAGCCACTGCTGGCCCGAATCAAAGAGGACAGGTGAGTGAACACTACACTCCTGAGTCTAGAACTTTGAATTCTATCCACCTTATTTTTATCGTAAGAGTTGGCACTGCCATGTGTCACTTGAATGCGTGTGGCTTCTGGTGTTATTTGCATTGTTTTACCGATTACACTTTATCTCTATAGTACACTTTAGACATTATATTTACTATAAGCAACTTTTTTTTCAACTAACTCTCATTAATTTGCAACTACATGTCAACTGTTATACTTTTATAAACTAAAAAGTGGGCCAGTTTAGTCCCAAGTAGTATTGAACTAGTAGTATACTTACAAGTATACAAGTATACTTACAAGTATACTACTAGTACATTGATATTAGTATTTCTTACTACATAAAATATACTTAAAATAAACTTGAACTTGAACTTTTTTGTAAGGGCAAAAGCAAACAAATGTTCCCAGCCCCCTAGGCTATAATATTTCTGGTACTATGTTTTTTTATGTGTACATGCAACAATTTTACTCTTGGTTGTGTTTGCTGTTCTCGTCAATAAAGAAAATGTCGATGGAAGAGGCCTCGGGATGCTTTATTCGCTGCAGAAATACACAGAGCACAGTGAATTATTTAGGGTACACGTCTCTCCCCTTCAATCAGCACACTCGTTAGAAGAGCGAGAGAAAGCACATCTGAATCCATCTATGAAAAAATGTGCTTCTCAAGATCTTAATTTACTCAATTAATAGTTACAAAACAAAGACAAGTTAAATAAAATCACAAAATTTAGTAAGCCACAAAATACATGTCACTGTTATATGGCATAAGAAATAATATACAAGGAAAAATATAATTTCCTCACAGTTTACTCATATCAGTGAATTAATTAGATTGAGAAAAATGTCAAAGATTATACACAAATAAATTGAAAGAAAAAAAAAACATTCAATATGACGACAACAATTTTGCATACAGACCTCACTTTTTACTATGTATTAAACTCATAAAAACTTGATATTAAACACATTTCAAACATTTCTCAATATAACAATCAAACACAACTGCTAAAATACACAGAGCACAGTGAAATGTTTGGGATACACGTCTCTTCCCTTTAGTCTGCCCATATATATAATGGAGAAAGCTAGTAAGCATCGATAAAACACTCAAAATGCAATCAATCACTTTAAATTTTATTACGTTTTTACATTACACTGAAGCATCTTTATCTCATGAAATATATTGATGAGGTAGTTTTATTCACTTCAAAATGCTTGTTAAAGAGCGAGAGAAAGCACATCCGAACCCGTCAATGGCAAATGTGCTTCTAAGGATTGCGTTGTTAGCACATTTCACATCGGAGTTATCATGTGTGTCACCAATATATGTGCCACTTATAAAAAATTCTGCATAAATGGTTCCCAATAGAATTAATTATGTAGATTGTATCATATAAATCAGTACACAAATAAAAAAATAATATGTTTTGATGGATTTTATTTTATACTTTTTGAACAGCTACATATTCCCCGCTGAACTTCACAAAACTTGGTCAATACAGATAAATAACTAATTAAAGCTGCAAGCAGCGATGAAAAGGGCCCTCGCACCCGTGCTATTCCCACGCATGCTTTTTGGTGGACCCCCTTAGCCTCCAGTGTATGACTGATAGACAACAACGGTTTGACTGAAAAATGTCAAAATTTAAAATACTGTGGAAACAAAGACACCTACATCTTGGATACCCTTGAGGTAAGCTAAAACATATCAAAAATTAATTTCAAAAGGAACTATCCCTTTAAAGCATGCAACTTCGTCCAATGATTAAAAAATCTAACCTGGATACTTCTGTTGTGGCAAATTTTAGGCCAATTTCTAATTTGCCATTCGTTTCTAAATTTCTCGGAAAAAAAATATTCTTTTACAGTTACAGAGTTAGCTGAGAACTCATTATTTGAAATATTTCAGTCTGGCTTCTGAAAATATCACTCCACAGAGACTGCATTGGTCATATATTAAAATATAATGATATTTTAATTACTTGCGACTCTGGTGATTTTTCAGTACTTGTTCCTCTTGATTTAACAGCAGCGTTTGATACTATTGATCACACTATCCTAATTGACCTTCTCAAGGACTGTGTAGGTATAGGAGGTACAGCTTTGAAATGGTTAATATCGTTTTTAACAAATAGGAGCTTTTCAGTTAAGACAGATTTATTTTCCCGTCAAACGAGAATCTTTAAGCCTATAATGTCTCTTACAGCATGCCTAGAAGAGGTAAAGGTATGGCTTTCTTTAAATTTTTCAAATTTTAACAAAAAGAAAACTGAAATCATTATTTTGAAATCATTATTTTTCATTATCCGAGCTATCAAAATCTGTAAACTTAAATCTGGGGGAGATGTCTGTGTATTTGAGACCCTGGGTGAAAGATTTAGGTTTTGTTTTAGACAATAATTTAAAATTTGATCGTCAAATAAATTTGTTTCTCCGTTTTCCGTTTCTCTCTTTTAAAGATCTTGAGAAATTAATTCATGTATTTATTTCAACGAGATTGGACTATTGTAACTCATTATATCTGGGAATTAGTCAGCAAACACTATCTCATTTACAACTTGTCCAAAATGCTACGGCCTGTTTCCTGTGTGGTAAAAAAAAAGAGAGAGCATATTACACCGATCCTAAGATCACTGCACTGGTTACCGGTGTGTTATAGAGTAGAATTTAAAGTATTACTTTTAGTTTATAAATCTTTTAATGGATTAGCACTAACGTATCTAGCAGAATTATTAATTTAACAAAAGCCTGCAAGGTCTCTATGCTCCTCAAATCTGGCCCTACTGTCCATCGCAAAATCGCGGTTAAAGCGCAGAGGAGATCGAGCGTTTTGCATCGCTGCACCCAGACTTTGGAATACTCTCCCAATTAACTTAAGACAGGCTCCATCTCTTACTATTTTTAAATCAAAGCTTAAAACATATTTATTTTCAAACGCTTTTGATTAAAGACTTTGTTTGTATAGACCATTTTGCAAGATGTAAACAACACTGGTCCAGACCCAGACAGCAAACTGACATTGAATCAAGGTGGAAACGACGTCTCTCATGACATTGAAACAACGTTGATTTTGCTCATCGAATTAACGTTGAACCAACGTCAGACGTGGCATTCTTCAAAGCTAAATGAAAATCGAAAATTGGTTTGCTCTCATAACGTTGAAACAACGCGTTGATTTCAAGTTGATTTTCCGTTAGTTTTGAAAGAATGACGCGTCTGACGTTGGTTCAACGTTAATTCGATGAGCAAAACAATGTCAGATCAACGTTGTTTCTATGTCATATTTCCACGTTGATTGCTATCTGGGGAAGCACTTCCTGTTTCAGTTTTTTAACACTACATAAAAGTTACAACCAACAGAACATATAAAATTGAATCAAAAAGTTAAACAAACATCTTTAAGATTTTTTCTTTACATGTGAAATAAAGAAAACAGTTACAAACTGAAACAGGAAGTGTTTCTGGACCAGTGTTGTTTACATCTTGTAAAATGGTCTATATGTATTTTATTTGTATTTTATATGTGCTTTTTATAAGTTCCTTATTGATGTGTGAGTCTATGTGGAAAGCACATTGGTCAACAACTGTTGTTTTTAATAGTGCTATACAAATAAATTGTCATTGTCATTGTCAACACTTGTAAATATTGTGTCCCAAACCACTACTTTGATTTCAAAATGAACGTTACTTTAATTCTGAATGTTGGCTTTTTCAACTTGGAGTGAGATCACATGCGGTTGCCCAATTTAACTGTCTCCTGTATGCTCTCTTCCACTGTCTCCTCCTCTAATCTGGCAACCTTTTTAGGGGACTTAGCCTTTGGTGCCCAGAATGATAAAATATCTTTTGCTTTTTCCCTGACATCTTTGAAAAATACAAATGCAATGGGAATGATTACTGTATGTTTTGACAGGATATAAACCATTACCCAGAGCACTCTGCTTTAATACATATAGCCTTAACCCCCTGGGGTCGAGCGTATCGCTGGCGATACCAGCTCACTTTTTTTCTTATAAGAGCAAAAGAGACTCAAATTACTCTGCTGATTTTGATCTTACATATAAGTGTTATACATCATTTGATCCTGTTAAGTGTCTAGTTTTTTGCATGCTCACAATAAAAACAAAGTCTTCTGCTTTTTGTCAAATAAATAAAAATAAACATGATGCACGTTTTACCTTTTTTCTCTCAGTGGAGTTTATTCTGAAACGCGTCCGAAAAATGAATTGTAACTCAGTAAATACTTGTCACAGAGACACGAAAGATTTATATTCTTTATATTCTCTTTTAAATTAAGTTATTTATATGAAAAACAACTATTCCTAGTTGATGTTATCTGTATGAAAAGAGAGAGATGTCAGTCTTTTTCCTTTCACCTAATTATAGCTTATGACGTGTTAATGTGACCCCGCCCACTGAGAGGACACGCTATTCAAACTCTAATGTTGAGGCAAGCCATGAAAACTCCCAGCTGGATAAAACATTCAGTTATACAAATCGTACCTCGACAGCTGAGAGGAATAATACTAATCTAATAATCCTGGAAAAGTTACCTCAGATGGTAGTTTCATTGTGAGGAGCACACAGATAGAGCTGATGTAAGGCATTTATTCTTAAGTGCTTTGTTCTAATTGCGTTATTGAATAGTGTCTGTAAACTGCAAAAAGACTGTTTAAATATGAATCAGGTGTCTGAGTGTGTGAATAACGAACGAACGCAAGGATTTTCAGAAACTTTCATTTTTTGTTTTTTTCAATAACCACGCATAAACAATTTTCTCTCAAAAATATAAACATGTACATACATGTTGCTATTATGGTAGCCCTGTTTGTGCTAAATAGAGTGTAATTTCACCTATACCATTAATATGTTTATAAGCAACTGAAAAAGCACAAATGTGAGGGCATCTCAAAACATCTCAAGCACCCCAAATACACCCTAGACCTCAGAGGGTTACTGTAACTAGAAAGACTATTAAT